GTAGCATGGAGTACAATAAACCTTTCCTCAGGACTCAGGATCAAGTGCTTTATCTGAGACCCCGCTTATTCTGTCTGTGCCCACCAGTTGTGGGAATCTGGACCCATCATTTAATTTTTCTAGATGGTAATTTATTATCTGCATACACATAAATAACATTACAGAATAACATAGATTAAACAATAGACACCCAAAGAACTACAGTTCTACCAACTTCATTGTGTTGATTTTCACATATTACATATTTATCCAGCTGTGTGTGCATTTCCAAGCTCTCAGACTCACTCAGTTACTAATTCATTCACCAACTATTTTTTGGTATGAGACACCATGATTGGCTCTTTATTAATATGTTGGTCAATAAAGAGACATATTCCTCTGCTTTGTGAAGTTTACCAATGAGTGGACAGTAAACAAGGTAAGAATGATAATAAACAAAAACCAAGAAAATACATACAGAATTTCAGATGTTGCTAAGTACTTTGCAAGTAAAGAGGAGAGAGGCTGAGAGACTGAGAGAACACACAGTATAAGAACATTATGTGGACAAGCCCTTTCTGAACAGAAGGCATTTCGAGCTAAGACTTCCAGAGATGGAAGGAGCCTGATTTTGTGAACATGGGATGTGCAGGAGCAAGAGCATTTTAGACAGAAGACATATGCAGAGATACTGAAGCAAGAACTTTCCCAGTGAGTTGAGGGAACAGAAGAGGCTGGTAGACCTACAACAGTAAGGGGTGTGGGGGTAAAGGGTAAAGTACCATCTCTCTCTTCACCCTGTTCACTTGAAGGTAACACAGGATTTAAATCCATGGCTCCCAAACATGTCTGCCCATTAGAAACACCTTGTGATCTTCTGAAAACCCAAAGCTAAACCAGGTAAATCCAAACTCTAGGGGTAGAATGCAGGTACTGGGATGCTTTTCAGGTTCCCAAATGATTTTAAAGTGCAAATGGATTTCAGACCACTGACTTAAATCCATGTTAGTGATTAAGTTCTTGTTTCAATCATCTGTAAAAAGATGAGGTTCAATTGTATAAGGCCAGAGTTCCCTCGTACTCTAAATTAGGTGATCTCTAGATGCAGATCCAAGGTCATTTTCATCTATCCCTTTCATCTAAATTTCCCTCCCTTTTTCTCTGGGACCACGTATTCTCCCAGCCAGCCTTAAAATCTTAGAAGGGTCTCCATATACTGTTCCCATAAGTCAAGCAGTCTCTGTGGATCCAAAGTGTCCAGCCTTCCCCAAAGTCCTCTTCCCTTTTTATCTTGATAGTCACACTCTGTCACCTTACCCTCCAATCCACCTTGCCCTAATGACTTCTGGGATTTGCTCAATTCCTGCTGCCAATGGAAAGCACACCCATCCTTCAAAGTCCATCTCCAATGCCACATCCTCCACGAAGCCTCCCTAACAAACCCAAGCATCCACTATCACTAATCTGTAAATTTTTATGGTTTTTATAATTCATATGCTACAATTTAGAGCTAAATTATACACAGGCACATATTATACATTGACAGTATCTCTCCAAATGGATGTTAAATAAATGACCAAACATAATTATATTCCTCCCTGCCATATATTAAGCATTCAAACATGAATGTTTTCAATGGTGGTGGAAACTACCATTGTTTTGGAGATAGAAGTGACAAGATGTTGGTGGTAGCATTCTAGTGGTAAAAGTAGTGGCAGTGACAACCAGGGAGGTGTAAAGGCCCCATGTTAGCCAGGCACTTTACACACATCATCTCATTTAAATAACTAACACGATCCTACAAAATGAGTTTTAATCTCCACACTTTACAAATAAGAAAGCTGATCTCACAGAAGTAGAGCCTCGAATGGTGGTTACTGGAGGGCGGGGACAGGATGATGGATGGGTAGTGAATTCCAGTTAGAGGGGAGTAAGAAGTTCTGGTGTGCTTTTGTAGTTAGGTGACTATGGTAACAATTATGGACTGTATATCTCAAAAAGCTGGAAAAAAAATCAGATTGTTTTTACCCTGAAGAAATGACATGTGTTTGAGGAGATATTTATATATAACCTGATTTACACATTCTACATTGTACTCATGTACAAAGACATCATGAGACCCCCTTGATATATACAATTTGGGGTATCCATTAAAAAGTAAGTAAGTAGGGCTGGGGTTGTGGCTCAGTGGTAGAGCCCTAGCCTTTTATATGTGAGGCATTGGGTTTGAGCCTCAGCACCACATTAAAAAAAAAAAAAAAAGAGATTGTTTCCATGTATATCTTGAGAAATATTTTTTAAAAAGTAAAGAAGTAAAGAAAGTTGGGGATTGGAAAGTTAAAGGAACCTAGGGGTGATGGTATATCTGAGTGATCCATGCTACCTTTCATAAGCCTTACAATGAATGGGCCCTTTTTTGGAGTCTCTTTGCATCTAACATAGGCTAATTGGCTGATTGATATGAGCAGTTGCATGCCATAGAAAAGTCCCCGGAGGAAGTCAAGCTATGGGTTGTTCATTTGTTTTAGATCAACTAAGTTCCACCAATATTGGCCAACAAATATGAAGGAAGACATATTCTGGCCATTTACAAACCCAGCTTTTTTAAAGTCATCTAACATGGTAGGTTTGCCAGAGGAGGCCCCCCCTCTCACCAGCAACCTGAGAGGATTTGCTCTGGGTGCTGAATCACCTATTGCCAGCCCTGGATGCTTAGAAGCAACAAATGCTGATTGTAATTCAGAGTCACATGATTTAGAAGTTTACCCAGAAAATGCCTGAATCATCCAAGGTCAAGAAAACGTTTGATGTGTAAAACTCAGAATTCACCCACAGGGGAAAAAAAAAAAGGGGGGGGGCCCTGGCATCTTAAACATTTTCTCCATCTCTTGATTTAATTTTTAGAAAGCAAATCTTTGGCTTCAGTTGCTGCTAAAGCAATCAATATGTCAATAATTCAATATCAAAGTTTCAGATCAGACATTTATTGGCAATCCTTTAGAAAACAAAATTGCTATAGCAACAGGGACTATTAACAGCATCTTTGAGGGATCCAACCTGTTTGGAGAAACAGTGCTATGTAGAAATGCAGATAAAAATGGCAGGAAAGTGAAGAGAGAAATAATTTATGTCTAGGTATGAATCAAGGTAAAACTGGAGGGTGCATTTTAATCAAAATCCTGTGTTGTTAACAAGGTCATTTAAATCATTTATTTCTGGATAGATAAATTTCTTTTTTTTTAAGAGAAAAAGAGAGAGAGAGAGAATTTTTTAATATTTATTTTTCAGTTTTAGGTGGACACAACATCTTTATTTTATTTTTATGTGGTGCTGAGGATCAAACCCAGCGCCTCGCGCATGCCAGGCTAGCGCATTACCGCTTAAGCCACATCCCTAGCCCTGGATAGATAAATTTCTATTATCCCTGTGAATAAAAGAAACCAAATAAGAGAATCCAAAACACAAAATCTAGATATTTTTCCTATTGATTTAAGAAATATATTATTTAACTTGCTTTTTGTGTGCTTAAATTCATTTTCCTAGCTAAGTCTAACTTTGTGATAATTAGTTTGACTTTCCTGAGTTCTAACCAAGTGCTTGAGGAAGTTAATATAGAAAAATAACCATAGAAGATTATGTGAAAAAAATTACCAGAAATAATTCATCTTACATGAAGAGAAATGGCAGACCTTGGACCTCAATCCTAGACCCACACTCCAATCCTCTAGAAATGGAAAAATTTGTATATTTTAATAAAGAAACCAAGTCTATATGGGATAAAAGTGAGAGAAGGTGCTTCCACAATATCAGACAGATCTTAGCTCCAACCCAACAGGATCTGAAAAAAGTCAGGTGTCGTTCTGGTTTCTGGCATACACCTGTTTGTTAAAAGGAACTCCCTGCTCCAAGAGATAATCCAGGACACACAAGGCATCACAAAAGGTGATTTCACCTTATTTCTGACTCTCAGTCCTGAGGGCAGCAGGAAGTTTTCCTTCAGAAACTGAAGGAGTTAGCAAATTTGCAATAATAAAAGCTTTTTTATTTGATTTTTGTTGCATCCTCACCCTTTTAGGTTATTTGCAACAGGGTCTTGGAGTTGCCCAGGCTGGCTTCCAATTTGCGAACCTCCTGCCTCAGCCTCCCAAGTTGTAAGGGCCACGGCTGTGCACCACTGTGTCTGGCCCTAAGCCATTTTTAAAAGATGAGTCATTTTGTAATTTTTTTCTAAGATTCTCTAACTAAACCAATGGGGTCACGATCTCTTGAGAGCATGTGTCAGTGAATTTATAAACTGTGGCCAGCATTTTGTGTGGGCAGTCAAAAGATCAAGGTTTGCAGTGAAAAATTTTCATTCCTCTATACTTTCCTTTTGGATTATGGGAGATTTGAACCAAATAGCCAGCTAGCAATGTATGCCATGACACTTAACACACAGACCCCCCACCCCCCCACACACACCCAAGCGCATACGCTCATAAAAGCTGGAATGGGTATTAAGAAATACAGAGTTGCTAGATTTTTTAAAATATTTTTTTAAAGAGTTGTGACTTGCAAAGAAATTATATTAAAAACCTTTCCAAGCCAGGCACAGTGGTGCTTGCCTATAATCCCAGTGGCTGGGGAGGCTGAGGGAGGAGGATCACAAGTTCAAGGCCAGACTCAACGACTTAGCAAAATGCTAACCAACTTTGGGAGATCCTGTCTCAAAATAAAAAATAAAGAGAGCTAGGGAAGTAGCTTAGTAAAGCACCCCTGGTTCAAACCCTAGTACCTAATTAATTCATTAATTTAAAAAATAAGAACCTTTCCCAACTTCTAGGAAAAAATATTGACAACTGAGCTTATAACAAGAGTATATATAATCCAAAGTTTTGACATTTTAGTCAACTAAATGGCCCCAATAGTTCAGTGTCATAATGGACATATATGTGTATGTGAACATATTACATATGGAGACTCATACATGGTACAATTAATTATACGGAAATCAAAAATATACGTCCCAACAGGACACTTACCTTTTCAAGTATAGCATTTCCCTGGTGAGGACTGATGTTGTGTTGGCTTATTTCTCTCTTGTACTTATATTCATAAACTTGGTCAGTGATATTAACCAGTAGAGTGGAAGGACTGAAGGACAGTTTTCCACAGTTGTAGACAGTCCCACTTTCAATATCAGTTGGTGCCGTAGCATATCGCAAAATTAATCCCATTATCAGGCCTAAAAAAAAAAAAAAGAATGAATAATTGTATTGGGAGAAGACAATCCAAAATATTCACTACTGGATACTTTTAAATATATAATTTGGAAGCTTCAAAGTGGCAAGAGAAAGAGTGGGATCACCACCTAGTTTAGAAGATTGCTCACTCATAGATAGCAAGTCAACGGAATATAGTGTTAAAATATTTGTGTGGGGTGTGTTGGCACACGCCTGTAATCCCAGCAGCTTGGGAAACTGAGGCAAGAGGATCTCAAGTTCAAAGCCAGGCACTAAGCAACTCAGTGAGACGCTGTCTTTAAATAAAATACAAAATAGGGCTGGGCATGTGGCTCAGTGGCTGAGTGCCCCTGGGTTCAATCTCCAGTAATATTTGTAGTGGACACTATTGCTAGAATACTCAGCATGAATTCCCAGGATTTTTCTTCCTAACAAACCCAGAAATTTTGGATACAAGAGATATCCTCCTCTTATATCCATCCAAGTATTTCACAAAAACCTTTGCTCTGTGATAGACACAGAGTAATCTAACAGACCAGGAGATGGTATTGTCCTGGGAGAGTTCTGGTCTGCAGATTAGCAGACCTATCAGCTAACCTATCTCAGTTAGCCTTTCAGACCAAAAAGAAGCATGTGTATTCATGGAGGGGTTCCTGTTGTCTCCTCATCAAGATATAACCAAGGTTATATTTTCTCCATTTTTTGCTGGCAGCTATCTTGTGACCATGAGGAGATCCAGTCCAAGGACACAGCCAGTATATTGGGGATGGTAGCACCAATATACAGACAGACCTCAGGTCGTGAATGACATCTCTGAGCCACTGGAACAACCAGCCTACAGTAAAGTTATCCTAGTTCTGGACCTCTTTTATGAGATATATTCTTGAATTAAAAAAAAAAAAATCAAGACTCTGCTTACCCCATTCAAATTCCTTCTAATGCCAGAACATTCCTTTTTATGAAGAGGGAACCCAAGTGATAATCCTTGACTTTCACATTTATAAACTCTGGTCGGTTACTCATGGTAGTCTTATAACTGTGAACTCTTCTAATACGGATTTATTAACAAACAGCAAAGAAACATCAGAGGCCCAAACAGCCCTCAATTTAAAGTTAGGATTGATATGTGACATAATTCACAGTTCACTCTTAAACACACACACACACACACACACACACACAYACACACACACAATTTTGAAGTTTTTACCTTTCTCTTAGAAAACCAAAAATCTAATAACCTTTTTAATTTTTTTTTTACTCCCCTAATAAAACATTTGTTAGGTGTGTATTTTGTGCCTGACATTTATAGCTTTAAAATAAAAATACAGTCAGTCCCATGAAAGCTCAAATTTATGTAAGTGAAGACCTATAAGCCATCAGAAGACAGCATGCCATGTGCTGTCCCAGCTGGGAGGCCCTCTAGGTTATGTAGAAGACACTCTGAAACCCTTGGAATTAAGCAACATGTGAGATGACTCTTAAAGGTGACATAAGATTTGCCAAGACAAGCTGAATCATGGAGTTGGGATCCAGGGCACACGTGTGGGGCAGCACTATGTAATATCAGACAGCTGGACATTCCTGGGACCTAAGCTCTCTCTGCAGAATGGCTGCTGGGAAGCGGCTGCTCAGCAGGGACCCTCTCCTGTCTGCTTTGCATCTGGACCATTCTCACCAGTGGAACAGACGCCAAAGCAAGGTTGCAGCAGTGAAGAGGCGCATGGAGGCTCTCTTTTCTATCCTCCTCACCCTCATCTGCTGAATAGAAAGAAACCAAAGGCTCCAAAGGCAGACAAATTCACTGAGCTGAGACAGCATGGGTCCCTCAGAAACTGGGGGGAAGGAATCCATCTACCAACCAGGCTTATGTGCACTGGACAACTAAGTGCATGAAAAATAAAATAGACTTGCTTTCCCAAATGTGAATTGTGCACTGTCACTTCCCAAATGGGGAAAGCAAGTCTATGTCATCGTAACAAGTTCCTAGAACCTACTGTGGCTAAATTCTGTAGTATGTAGTCACTGATATTCTGGTGTTGCTGTGTTTGCAATCATTACTGATAACCTAAGTAACTCAGCATATAAACAAAGAGGGACTTAGATCTTGTGCATTTGGGGAGTCAGCCAGTGAGAGCAGAAGAGAATAGTGGAGAGAAGGAAAAGAGGGGAAGGGGGGGGGAGTGAGAGAAAAAATGGCTGAGAGAGAAGGGGTGGGGGCTGAGACTCTAGGCCACAAGACTCCTCTGTTGTGCTAAAAGGTATTGATGTTTTAGTCCAATGATAATGCAGAAGAATTGAAAAATTTTAGGCAGGAGGGTACAATAATCAGATATTCATGTAAGAACTATCACTTTGGTAACAATGTGGAGAATAGATCAGAGTGAGAAGCATGAAAGAAAATAAATTTCTTCCAAGAATAATTTTTATCTTACTTATTCCTTGCTTATTCCTGTATTTGGCCCATTCCTCTGTAATAGTTAGAAATATTGTATCCTAACTTTTGTAAGATAGAAACATACTTAGCCTTCCCTGGGCACAAGATCTGCCACAGACCAGTGGACCCCTTTCCATGCACTGTCAAGTAGTTACAAAATAACCAGTCAGGAGAGAGCAGGAAAAGCTTCCTCCACACTCCTGGTGGTTTAAGGTGCTTGAGTAAGAACGCCTCTTTTGAACACTCATTGGGTAACAGTTATTTTTTTTTTATTGGTTGTTCACAACATTACAAAGCTCTTGACATATCATATTTCATACATTAGATTGTAGTGGGTTATGAACTCCCAATTTTACCCCAAATGCAGATTGCAGAATCACGTCAGTTACACATCCACAATTTTACATAATGCCCTATTAGTAATTGTTGTATTCTGCTACCTTTCCTATCCCCTACTGTCCCCCCTCCCCTTCCCTCACATCTTCTCTCTCTACCCCATCTGTAACAATTATTAAACAGGTACCACGAGTGACACTGTTGATTGCTCATTCTTCACATGTGGGATACAAGGAAGGGAAGAACAAGAAGGTATCAGCAGGGGTTCTACACAGAAAGAACCCCTATTAATGTCATTTGAAACTCTCCGCAGATATGTCACTTATTTTGGCAAAATGCTCACAAGAAAACGAGAAGTGTGCACTGTCACTTCCCAAGTGAGGAAAGCAAGTTTATGTCCTTGTAGCAAGTTCCTAGTACATAGTGTGGCTAAATTCAGACAAGCCTTCAAAATTGAAATGGCCCTGCATGGCCTGTTATGCCAGCTCTGGTCCCAGCCTTTAGGAAGAAGCAGCCTGAGGTAAATGGAGGAAGCTGCTTGTAGCCAGAAGTGACCCCATGTAATAGCCATAAAAATGCACCTCTCAGATCTCCTACTGTAAGCAGTGCAGTCAGCCAATGTGATCTATCCCAAGTCCATGCAGAGGCTTCCACCCCACTCCCAACCAATGACTGTGCATGGCTGGGATTCTATGGCAGGGAGTTAGGGACTCCTCTAAAGGATAAACATGGTTCAAGTTCACCTCATAAGCCTCACCAAAGCATTCTTATAATTGCACTGCAGCTTAAGGATTCCCCACCCAGCCTTTTTCTTTCCCCATGTCCACCAACACTGGGCTGCCTCAAGGTATGACAGCTGTCCCTACATCACACTCTCTCTCAAAGAAGTTTTCCCCAATAAACCTTTTTTGATAAGTATCTTCTTCCAGCTTCTACTTCTTGGTTGACCCAACTTAACAAACAAGTCAAAAGGCTCTGGCCCTACTTGTCCCCAGGCCCCAAAGGTTGAAAGGAATTAAAGTGGAAGGGATAGTGGAACCTCAGCATCAAAGCACATGGTTAACAAACCCAGGTGCTCACACGTGTGCACCCCTGCTGCAAAGAGGAATGATTCTCAATGAGAAGGGGTTGTTTGATGCCCACACAAAGATACAGATAAAAAAAAACTTCCAATCACTTTTGCACAGGACAGAAAGACTATTTGCTGTGGCCATGAACCCAAAACTCCAGTCTCATTGGTAAAACAAGAAAATGGAACCCTACTTTCCGGGAAGGAAAAGAAGCCAGCCTGCCCTCACTAAAGCAATACCTACCCTGAATTGGGCACATACTGGGCACCCATCCTGGCCCCAGCTTGCGGTTGGACACTCCTGTGAGATTTACCCCATGTCTCGTGGCTGGCATTGCCTTCTCCAGGTGGAGTCTCTAGTCTAAACACATCCCAGCTTCTTCAAGTCACCTACGGTGGCAGCAAGGTGGACATGCTCTCTAGGGAACCCTGACCTGCCTGCAGTAGCACACAAACCCTGGAGCTTGGGTGATAGACTATATCCTGAAGCACTCACTATTCTAGGAAGTTCCTCTTGAATCCCCACTGTGGCAACTGTGCTCTGATGGATCCATGCTCACCGAGCCCTCATATTTGAGTTCTTATAACACTTAGAACTTGAACCACACATTGTAGGAGCCCGTTTTATAAGAACTTATACTGTTCAGCATTGCTTCACAGACCCTGGCTTTGTTTCCTGCCTATACAATCTGACTGTTGAGAGCAGAGGCTCTGTGCTGCTCTTCTTTCCTCTAGAAAAGACAAATATGTTAGGCAGAATTGCAGCTGAACTTTCTCCAAGTCACCAAACTCCTCTGGCATTAGGAAGACAAGGATCCTTAGTGATATCTATCAGTTACCAACATTTTTAACTGTCACATCTAAGGGACCTCCCAACAGATACTACCATGTTCTTGTCCTTGCAGAGCTTTCAATATAACTGTCACCTAGCAGATGTGTGACATGCAGTTGACAGCATGATGTTTATCAAAGCAGGAAGAAGGGAGGGAGGAAGGAAAGAGGAAGCAGCCTCAGGGTTACTCACACCAAAGAATGGTTGGAAATAGAGCCGTGTCTTTCTGGACTGGGTTTCCTTTCATCATCCATATTGTACATCCACTCTCCTTCTCCCTCCATTGGGCTTTCAGCCATGGACATAGGACATTGCTCTAGGATTTGTG